AGTTCATAAATATGGGACATCTTTCTTTTTATAGTCATGTGTCACCTAACAATAGAGATTTATTCTAAGAAATGAGTTTTAGTCAATTTCACCATTCTTTGAACACCGTAGAGTATACTTAGTGAAACTAGATGGTTTAGATCAAATGCTCAGTATGGCCTCTTGATATGATCAAGAGACAAAGTAAACATGAGATGTATAAAGTTGGTGATGGCCTAACTTAACATACTATTTTACAGTAAAAATCTTTTCTGAGCATAAATTCCAAAATAAGGATAAAAGTATAGTAACAAGAATACATAAACTGATAACATAGTCATTTATTTTCAGGTACTATGCACTGTACCTAATTGTATGTACTATAGGTTTACTTACAGTGACATCATTACAAACAAAATCAATATGTTTCATTATAATGTTATAAGAACTACAATGTCCTAAGTGGTAGGAATTTTTCAGTTTTGTTATTATCTTATAGGACCATTGTTTTATATGTGGTCTGTGATTCACCAAGTTATCCTTATTCAATATCTGACTGTATTTGTGTCTTCTTCAATTAATTTCACCAATGATTTATAGTTTGCAGTGGATAGGTCTTTCACTGCCTTGGTTAAATATATTCTCAAATATTATATTATTTTTTGCAACTATTATAAGTGGGATAGTTTTCTTAATCTTATCTGTTTTAGGATAGATCATTGTTAGTGTATAGAAATACTACTTAGTTTTGTATGTTGATCTTATATTCTGCCACTGTACTGAGTTGTTTAGCAATTCTATCAGTGTTTGGTGGATTGTTTAGAGTTTTCAATATATAGAAGTGTATTGTCTTCACAGAGGGACAATTTAACTTCTTCCTTTCCAATTTGGGTACCTTTTATTCCTTTATGTGGCCCTTATTGCTCCAGCACTATGCTGAAGAGAAATGCCAAGAGTAGGCATCCTTGTCTTGTTCCTGATCTCAGAGGAAAAGCTTTTCACTATTTATCATTGAGTATGGTTTTAGTGGGTTTGTCGTATGTGGCCTTTTATTGTTTTGAAGAGCATTTGTTGAACATTTTTATCATGAAAGATGCTGGATTTTGTTGAACATTTTCTCTGTCTCTGTTTAGATATTAACCTGATTTTGCCCTTCATTCTCTTAATGTGGTGTGTTACATTTATAGATTTTCATATGCAGAACTATCCTTGCATTCCTAGGATAGACTCTTCTTGATTTGGGTGAATGATCCCTTTGATATGTGTTGTTGAATTTGGTTTGCCAGCATTTCATTGAGAACTGTAGCATCTATATACATCAGGAATATTCACCTGAATTCTTGTAGTGTCCTGTCTGGCTTTGGTATCAGAGTAATGCTGGCCTCATAAAATGTTTTGAACATGTTTCATTTTATTGAAGTTTTTGTAAGCATTTGAGAAAAATCCTTACTAATTCTTGAAATATTTGGTAGAATTGAACTGTGAAGCCATCTAGTGCTAGACTTTTCGTTGACAGGAGACTTTTAAATTATTAACTCAATCTCTTTTCTTGTTATTGATCTGTTTAGGTTTTCCATTTCTTTGTGACTCGATCTTGATAGGTTATATGTGTCTAAGGCCCTATTAATTTCTTCTAGGTTAGCTGATCTGTTGTGATGTAATTGTTGATAGTAATCTCTTAGGGTCCTTTGTATTTCTAGTACTTTATGTATTCAAATTAATCCCTCTTTCTTTCTTCCTTTATTTAGCTGCAGGTTGGTCAGTTTTGTTTATCTTTTTAAAAATTAATTATTGGTTTCATTGTTTTTCTTTTTCATCTCTATTGCATTTATTTCTGCTCTGGCCTTTATTAGTTCCTTTCATTTACAAACATCGAATCTAGTTTGTTCTTCTTGCTCCAATTTCTTGAGGTACAATGTTAAGTTGTTTATTTGGGATCTTTGTTGTTATAAATTATGAACTCCTTGAGTTTAGTAGTCAAATTATTATCTTTGAAATATCAATTTCTAATGTAGTCTGGAATATGTTATAGGTACACAAGACTATTAATGAATGAATTTAATATATGAGTAAATTAATTCTAAAATTTGCTAACTCACACTGACCATGTATTTGTTCATTTAATTGAACACATTTATATAATTATGTCAAGATAAATATATAAAATCTGTACTAAGTTATCATTTATGCCTTCCATATGAGACAAGGTTCAATTTCTCCAAGAATTTTAACCAAGGAAATAAAATCTAAATCTTCAAAATATCAAAAAAATTGTCTCCGTCTCTTAAATAATATTAAAAGTGATAAAGATCACAAACCCTAATAACTCTCCAGATACTCCCCATCTCTCTTCATTTCTGCTTCTTATTTCTTTTTTATTTAGGTTGTTTATCAAGTAAAAGATTCCATTCTATGTAATAGAGTGGAGAGAGAAAACAGCTGAGTAATCAAACACCAGATTTTCTTTACCAGATGGTCAGAGAGTGTTATGTACTGTCACATGCTAATGATTGCTAGCCAAGCACATAAATATGTGTGGGCGTGTGTGTGTGTGTGTGTGTGTGTGTGTGTGTGTATGATGGCATTGTTTTCTTTGAATTATCTGTCAACTATTTTTTTTATATTGTTGTATAGAAGACATCTTTGTGTGAAAATACCCTTCCACTTAGGTGATATTTGCCTCCTTTCTTTAAAACAGAACACACAAAAAAGGAGAAAAAAAAAACCCCAAATCTGAACTTATCTCTCTTGTACAGAGTGCCTTGAATATAACTATAATCACAAGTATGTTTAAAACATTCCTCTTGATTTATTGAAAGGAAAAGTCTTGGATTCAGTGGTTTTCTTTCTCTCTCTGTAGTTTGATCGTGGTTAGAGTCTACGTATTTCATGTTTTATACATCAGCAACAGCTGTGCGCTGACGCTCCAAGAAAAACCTCCTCAAAATAGCTTTTTTCTGCAAGCAGAAAATGACATTGATGAACTTTGGCAGGAACTGTACTCTTGAGCCATGTTTAATTTTGAAACTTCAATGGAAAAATACACTGCATGAGGAAGCCAGTTATACAGGATCCAGAGCCTGATCTATTGTTAGGAGAGAGGTGCCAACAATGCACAGAGCTCTGCAGGTCTGAAAGCTTGTACAAACTGTCCCACAGGGATCCTGGACAAAGCCTCTTGGATGGGGACTTCACCACAGCATTACACATTCTTAGGAAGAGGTACAGCAGGAAACCTGCCACTTGGCAAAGCATCTCTCCAAAAACAGAGTCTGGCCTTGCATCAGCTGACGTAGATAAAAGTTTCACAACATTTCAAAAATATCTTTGTTTTACTTATTTACCCATTAAATCATCCTATTCCTATAATTTGAGAGTCCTTTATAGTTTGAGGTAGAAGGACCTACCTCAATGAAGTCCTATGGGCAACACCTGATAACTCCAGATCCCTTACCTTTATATGGTCAATTTGTGTGTTCTCAATAGTGCTGTGGAGAAGGACAAAGGTCTTCTTTTGTTTCTTTGTCAGTGTGCTGATAACTGCTGAGTAGCACTGTTCAGCTAGTCACATCTCAACTTCAATAGTACTTAAAGTCTTCTGCCCCAGTAGTTAGCACAGGTGCTAAAGGAATGTTTGGCTCCATCAGTAGTTATTTCTCAATAACTCAGTTATGCAACTTTCCTCACCACAATTGGTCATAGTCTTCTAGTTTCACGTCCAGCTACATCTTCAGGATGTGAGCTGCCCCAGTCTGCCAGAGCTATGATGAACATTTGGGTTCTATCATTAGTCATGCTACCTGAGATTCTGAATGCAGTAAAGAGGGGATACTGTGGCGCTGGGTGCTGTTCATGAGCTAGAAAACCTTTTACAGAAGCCAGAGGGTGTCTCTAAAAGTCTAATCCAAAGCCTTTTTTTTTTTTACAATACCCATTTTAGAGGGGTTCATTTTCTAACAGGTGTGAGTCACTTTTATTAAGCAACTCTCAGTTTCTTGCAAAACCTATTGCTTTGGGAATGTTGAACAAGGATGAATTCTAGGCTCCCCATCTCATGTGCCAGAATTTTATAGCTCTTTTCTGCAGGCATTCCAATGTCAGCTGGTACAGATCTTCTGGCCCATCTTTCTCTACCTTAGAGTGATATGCTTTTCCAAGAGATTTTGTTTTTCTTTCTATGTCTATTAGTCTACTTTGGAGCTACCCAGCTACCATGTTAGATCTCTCTAAGTCAAATATTAGGAAAAAGAGATTTGGGAGTTTGATAACCTCCTTTCTTGACGGCATGTAGGTTTATGAAAGTCTCTCCTTTTTTATATCTGAACTCCACATAGAAAGAGGAGCTAGATGACTTTATAAGTTAGACTGAGGCTCTGTCACATCATTCCTCCCAGAGATGACTAACACAGGGACCACTCAGGGACCAACTTGCAGCTTTATATGCCTCAGGTGAGGAGATATTAAAACCATGTAAAAATAGGGCATACAGCTACATACAAAGGTAGCTTATGTTCCAAGAACAAAAGTTAATTTAATCTAGATATTTCTTTATATTTGGGACCAGAACCATGGTCTATTTAGAGACATTATAAGCCTTTCTTCAGAGAAAATCTAAAAATGGAGTAAGATCTTATCATTCTGGGAGAGTTTTAGCAGGGGTCTGTTATAGGAGAGGAAATAGCAATTAATGGGTCCTTTAAATCAAATGTTTTATTTGCTTTATGTATATATTCAGCCATTAGTTGCTGAGGGGTGGATTCTGAATCAGAAATTGTTGGGAAGTGAATTTCAGGATTTGGGTTCCATTGCCTTATTTAATCAGCAGCAAATATTGTAAGAAAAGCAAATCTTCCATAAGTTTTGGAAGATTTTAACTTCTGAACTATGGTACATATCCCATAGCTTAAATTATATTGAGATCACCACCAAAATTGCTGAATAACAAGATATTGTCCTACATGTAAGACTTTAGTTACGTTTGCATGATTTTTCAAAATTTATTCTTTGTTTTCATTCTGCAGCCTCCACCTCAGATATATGACAAACAGCTGGATGAAAGAGAGCACACCATTGAAGAATGGAAAGGTGATTCTAGTACTGCTGAATGGGTATTTTTTTGTTTTAGTGAAACAGAATAAAGAAAGCAGCTGATCCTTCCTAAATCCTATACTAATATCTTTTATATTTTTTTATATCAAAAAATATCAAGATTTTTTCTTGTAAAGCAGTTTGGTAAAAGAGGATTTTTACACTGCTATCTTAGACCACTCAGAGTTCCTAAAACTTCATCCATTTTTTTCATCTTAATAGCAATATCACATTTGCTTAATAATTAATTTATTTTGACAACTTTTTAAATAGTATTAACTACTGAAGAGTTTATCATGGTAGAATTCAAAATTTCAAAGTTAAACTTTCCATGTCTTATATATAGTTATCTTATAAAACATAGAATTAATATTAAGTTTTAGATGTTTTTAGACTTTACAAAGTAAAAATAGTTAACATATGAATTAATTCACTGTATTTATAGAACATGAGTGTTTAAATAGAAAACAGTGGCTTACTTCTACTTAATCAATACATTAGTGAATACATTAATCCTTTTTTTAAAAGCAAAACTTCTCAAAAATCATATTGAATCTTCAAGATTATACTGAGGTTGAAATGAAACCACAATTCCATTAAACAAAAAAAATTAACAAGAAATAAGCACATGAAAGTTGTTCAACATCATTAATAAATAAATACAAATTGAGACAATGATATACCACTCTATACCAACTCCAAAAGCTGACTGTAGCAAGGATGGATGAAGATGTGGATGCAACAAATGGAAATCTTGAACACTGTCAGTGAAAATACTCAATGATACAATCACTTTGGAAAAAGTGTGGCAGTTTCATATGTAAACACACACTATTAAAACCTAGCAATCCCATTACTAGTTAACCCAAGGAAATGAAAAAGTACATTTATAAAAAGAGCATTCAAACATTAATGCAGCTTTACTAGTAATAACTAAATTGGAAACAACTCAAATGATTGTCAACTGGACACTAGATAAAGAAATGAGTAAAAAAATTTTCATATCTACACAACATAATATATAGCAATAAAAAAAAGAAATGAAACCACAAAACACGGCAAACATGTAAAGAATTGTTAAATTAATTTGAATAACTATAAAGCAGAATAAATATGAGAAAAACCAAATGCAAATTATATCAAAAGATCAGATAAAAATGGGAAAAACATTCAGGGGATATCTGAAGTGAAGGAAATTTTGAGCTTTTTCGAAGGTATTAATAAACATAAAATGTGAAAAGGAAAATACTAAATGAGATATATAAGAGAAAAACAAATAATAGAAACAAACAACAATGTTATAAAGAGAGTTAAGATATTCTACTAGTGAAGGGTTCATGCTGGTGAATATGGAAAAATGAGCTTATACATAATGTGAATCAGTAGTATGACACCAGATAGTAGATGGGAAAGGCTTGCTTTAATCTAAGTAAGAACAGGAAGACATTATTGGGGTTTCATGAATAACTAAGTGATAGGACATAGACATTATTTGAAGAGGACATAGACTAAATTAGAGAAAGAAATACAATCATAAAGGATGATGATTGTCTAATTGTATGGCATTACAACCAAGAATGAGTAGGGCTGAGTGATTTTTAGCAAAGGAGAGAAAACAAAATGAAACCAGGTATGGTGGTGCATGACTGTAATGCCAATGACTCAGAAGGCTAAGGCAGGACGATCACAAGTTTGAGACCAGCCTCAGTAACTTCAGAAGGTCCTAAGCGACATAGTGTCTCAAAAGAAAAATAAAAAGAACTAGGATGTGGCTCAGTGGTCAAGCACCTCTAGATTCAATCTCTAGTACAAAAAATAAAAAAGAAAAAAGAAATGAAGATATCCAAATTTAACTATAGCAATGAGAAACCCCCAAATGGATGCCAGTTTGGAAATGAAAAAAATAAATATTTTGTATGTTGGATTTTAGACATGTTTATATTTACAAATCTAAGATATGAGTCTGGAAGAAAGTTTGAAGTACAAGATAGAAGTTGTAAGGATCGGTAATAATTTAATATTATGAGAATTTGTGCATTTCTTAAGGTGTAAATATAAAAGAAAAGTAGGTGTTCAAACACAGAGCCATTAAAATGCTCATAGGTAACCGTAGAATGTATCAGGAGTACCCTCTCATCCCACCCAAAGACATCAGAAAACATGTGTATTTTACATATTTTTATTGAATCAACTGGTTTGAGTACATGCTTTTTGCCAGGCTTTATGCCATTTGCCCAGAAATATAGAAATAGAGGAGTAACAGCCACAAAGAAGAGTGAAATTATGGCATTTGTTGGTAAGTGGATAGAACTGGAGAATATCATGCTAAGTGAAATAAGCCAATCCCAAAAAAACCAAAGGTCGATGTTCTCTCTGATTTGTGGATGATAACTCAAAACAAGGGAGGTTGGAAAGGGAATAATAGAAATCCACTGGATTAGACAAAGGGAAACAAAGGGAAGTGGAGGCGGAGGGGAATAGGAAAGACAGGAGAATTAATCAGTCATAACTTTCCTAGCCTTGTATTTGTATACTTGACCAAGGTAACTCCACATCATGTACAACCTCAAGAGTAGTAGTCTAAGTAGAATAAGTTATACTCTATATAATCTGCCAAGCTAGATTCTACTGTCATGTACAACAACAACAACAAACTATTGCCTAACCCTCACCCCCACAAAAAATAATGGAGGAATAAAGGGATCCCAATTAATTTTTCTAATTTGTTCAACCCCACGAAAATATTATTTGTAATTAACTTAATAAATTTCTATGATTAAGGAAAATTTTGGTTTTTATACTGTAATAACATGAATAAATGTTTCTTACAGAACTTATTTACAAGGAAGTGATGAGTTCAGAAGAAAAGACTAAAAATGGCGTAGTAAAAGGACAACCTTCTCCTTCAGGTACTCACTCTCAGTGAATAACCAATTAACCAGTACTTGGGTGCTTTCTTTGGTTCTAAGAAGGGGTTGCAATCAATAGCATTGCTTACAGAGTATATGAGCAAATATTGCAGGACTGTTTCTCTATGATTTTAATTTAATTTCTTTTGATATTTGGTGTGATATTCATTCTGGATTATATTGATTTTAAGATAGTAATGAATCCTGAAGAATTTTTGTTAACATGGACTGGTTCAAGGGTAAATGTTCCTAGGAAACAGAGCCAGAAAGCTCTTTTGATAACCAATTCAGTGCAGAGGTCAGGAATCCCTCCAGTCAAGACCTCTTTCCTCATTCATTCTCAATGTTTGGACTCTCCCCAAACTTGGTAAGACAATAGTTGAAGCATCTAACAAAATGGGCTATAATTAAAGCCAGCTTGGAAAACCTTTAGTTTGCTATCTATATAATCTATATATATATATATATATATATATATATATATATATATATATAATATATATGTGTGTGTGTGTATGTGTGTGTGTTTGTCTCCTAATGTATGTTTTATATATAAATATATATCAATATAACATATCTATCTACAGCTAGATATAACATATATACATATTTATGTATGTATATATATAACTGGTCCTTGCATTGTATTTTAAAACTACTTGAAATAATTTACTTGCACCTATTAATAAGAATCTACTTTCTCCCTAAGGCCTGTGTTCTGAATATAAAAGTTTTAGAAAATGTGATCGTTTGTTTTTAGCTTTAAACTACACTCAGCACATTCCAGCAAGGATGTAGGCTGCAAATGACTAATTCAGAGGAAAACTTATTTGTTGTTCTAACTTTAATAAACAGATGTAAAAAGATATTAGATGAATTAATAAATTATATCATATGCCTTTTTAAATAGCTAATTTGCACCTATTTCATGGTGTTCTCATCCAAAGCCTTGAGGCAATATCTAATTCCATCTCGTCTCTTTTCTTCAAGGAGGGCAAAGGGAGTCATCAGAGTTGTCCCCCACCTTGCCCTACCTAATCATTCATTCTAGCACCTGGATTAATATAAATCTGCAAAAACGATTTCTAACTTTCCTGCATGTTCTATTTGCTTCTGATTAAAGAACTCCAAGATGCCTGAAGATGCCACTTGCTAAGGCAAAAAAACTCTTCCTTAAGAATTCCCGTAATGACTAGAACATATTTCCCAATAGTCATCCCGTAACTACCTTGTCCCAGGTGACTTTACATCTTCCCAAGGAATAGGATCTTTCCATCCTGTGTTTCCTACTAGTCCTTGTCTTTTAAATATCAGACCTCTCATCTTATTACCCCATATTGAACATACGTTTATTGAGAGAATTGAATTCATTCACCTTTGTGTACTGGATAGTGTCTGAGTATTGTGCCATGAAATAATAGCATCTCAATAAATATTTATTAATTTGAAGTTGCCACTCTGTTCCTAATATGGTTTGGATGTGAGGTGTCCCCCAAAAGCTCACGTGTGAGACAATGCCAGAAGGCTCAGAGGAGAAATGATTGGGTTACAGGAGCCTTAACCCAAATGAGTGAATTAATCCTAACAAGGATTAATTGAGTGGCAGTTGAAGTGGTAGGGTGTCCCTGGAGGAGGTGGGAATTGGGGCATGGCTTTGGGCATATATTCGTATCTGGAGAGTGGAGTTTTTCTTTCTGCTTCTTGATCACCATGATGTGAGCTGCTTTCCTCTGCCACACTCTTCTGCCATGTTTAGTCTCCTCTCCAGCCCTGAGAAATGGAGCCAGTGTTTTATGGAATGACACCTTTTAAACCATGAGCCCTCAAATAAACTCTTCCTCCTCTATAATTGTGCTGGTTGGTCCCTTTGTTCACAGCAGTGAAAAAGCTGACTAAAACAGTTCCTCTCTTAGCATGTTTCTTGATGCTATTCGAAAGACAGAATTCAAGATAGTATCATAGCTTTAATACAGTATGCAAGTCAGTATATTTCTATATTATGATTATAAATATTAACTCACCCTGTTAGTCTCCATGAAGATAAATTGGTCAACTATCAAGTGCATGAGTTACTGCTATTGATATTTGTCCATGCTTCAAAAGGTTTGCTGCTTTGAGGTAGTCATTTGATTTATTCATTTTGGGAAATATAAATTCACAATTTTTTTGAAGTCCCACTTACTTTAGTCTGTTAATGATTAATTCTAAAATATTCCATTTAACTTCCACCTAAGTGAGAAGACTAAGCTATTTTTGTAACCATTCCAACTACCTGTAACAAAGATTATCTACTTTACACATATACTCTTAAACTACAGTTGATTGACTTAATCAATTTATAGTTCAAATGAGTGAATCCACAATCATCTTTCATTAAATGACTTTACAGGGAAAATATTCATGACAATTTTGATAAATCATATGTTCACTGCACTGACATATTAATGTATGTTTGTATATGTTTGCATCATATAGACATTGCACATTAGCTGTATGCTAGAGCTAACTATCAGCCCATGAAAACCAATTGTGTACATCTTTTCCCAAATGTGAGTTTATTAACCTTATGTTGGTATTTGAAACCAGCCAGGAGAGATTTTTACAACATGGATTTGCCTTACAAATCAGGGCATGTTTTTTTCTCCTGGAGAACCAATTGTTAAATGTTTATTGACACACCAGTGTGTGTGAATGTGGTAAACTATTCTGGAAAGAAAAGGCAATTACTAAAAGAAACTTTTGAAAAGTTACATTTTTTTTGCATTCTTTATTATAGACACCTTTCCTTATTAACATTTGCATAGCAGATTTAATTTTGTAAATAGCTAGGATAAAGTAATCTTACAATATAAACTTTCTAAATATTCACTTATGGTAATACTGGGAATACTGACACAAAAGAGTAAGTTAATGCAGTTCCTCAGGGACAAAATGATTTTAATACCCAAACCCATGTTATAGTGATGCTTTAAAAATGTAAATAGGAAGTTCAATGTGCATTTGCAGAAGAATTTATAGGTTTAAAATTTATTGATGGAATTGCTGTATATCAATATATCTAAACTTCAGATGCATTCCCATATAAATAATTATACTCGTTTTTCTGCTATCTGATTTCACTTGCAGAGTGATTTATTTTCAAGACTAGCATAGCTACATGCTTCCTGAATTGATTTGTAAAGACTGCTGAGGGAATAGTAATCTATGAATAGAAATTAATTTTCCTCTAAAAGCGGTTGTCATAGAATGTTAGAGCTAGAGCAAATATAGGAGGCCAACTTATTCTACAATGTGATTTGTTCCCTCCCTCTATTCTTCCAGGGAAGGAAAGTTCTTCAAGTTATAATGACTCACTAAGATAAGAATGCATAGCATTAGGTGGGCAGAAATTTTTCAAACTCTCCAAATCAAAGATAAAGTTTCCCAGGTGTTTTTAATATACATCCCTCCTCCCTGGGATGGGGGGGGCAGTAATCTCTGCCACTGAGTTCATCTCTACCAGCTTGAGTCACCAGTCCAATATATTTTATCTATCTAACTATCTATCTCTTTCTTTATTTATTTATTTATGAGCTTTAAGCTCAAACAAGTTGAGAGGCTGAAGATTATGCAAATAGAGAATTCCTCTTTGTGATCTTTGCCTTCTAATTTTTCTTCTAATTCTCTGTATCTACATTGTGTGTGTGTGTGTGGTGTGTGTGTGGTGTGTGTGTGTGGAGAGAGAGAGAGAGAGAGAGAGAGAGAGATTGGGTGTGAGGTGTTGTCAGCAAAATAATTCCCTTAAAAAACAAAACAACATTGTCCCCTGAAATAAGGAATGCTTAAGGTTAGATAACATCCACCTAAGAAATTTTTCATTGGTGTTACTTCATTCCATAAAACTTAATTTTTTAAAGTTGAATGTAGCTAATATTCCTCATTTGCAAACCAATTAGTAGTTTTTAGTTCCTTTTGATACCATTTTATCAATGAAAATGTATAATGACTTATTTATGGCAAAACATCTTTTAAAATGTGTCTCTGTACTGGCTCCTCCTGAGTAGCACTGAGAGAAAGGATATTTATCCATTGCTGGGATGTCCGAGGCAAATATGTATTATAATCAAATTCAATTCAGTTCAGTTCTGTTTAAGAGATTTTTACAAACTGACCGACAGTAAATTAACCTGAAGCCAAGTTCCACATTGCATCCTATTTGTTTGTGTATGGTTTTATGATTTACGAAGCTTGTTTATTACCTACATAAAAATAAATTTGAATGGGTCATCTCAAAGCCAGGAGAGGCTGCCCTCAAATAGGCATATATTATAATGCGATACAAGAAGTCATGCCAAAGCAAACATTTTTCATCTGACAGTGTGGACTGGTTAATATTTAACAACCATCTCTTTAAAAAACAATCAAACACACAAAAACCTATGAAAGAACTGATTAGAAACATTTACCAACTTCTGTGGTATTAATATACTCTGTGAACAATTTCAGGCTCCCAATGTGACATCAGTGAATGGAGAGTTGGAAAGAGATGCTAATGATTGGTTCTAGAATGATACTAAAAGCTAGCTCTAGCACACAACACATAGTGTACCAAAAGGGTACCATGACACTATACAGAGAGGAACTCTTTCCTGCATAGAACCTACTGAGTTGGCACATACAAAACATTCAAGAATATTTTATATTGAGTTTAAGAAAATACTATCGAATGTTTTCTGTGTTATGACATAATGTTAACTCAGAGCATTCCAAAAGTGTGCTGAAAACATGCTGATTATTAAAATAATTACAGTAAGATTGTGTGTTTTATAAGTACAACCTACAGCATGGTCTCCTTTTTATGAAGAGTTTCCTGAAAAGTACTTTGACTTTGTTCTGTATTATTAACAGATGTAAATTTGTGTTTTGCTAAGGAAATTTCCTCAGTCTTATTTGTGTGATTTATTTAGCTGTCCTTGATATGGACTCCTGTTTACTTGTAAAGATTAAATTGTGTTCTTATA